AGGTTCCTGGATGTATCAGCACCGGTTCCCATGGTGTTAGGTACCATCTGTAAGTTTCAGAGTGAGTTCTCTTCTTTTGGATTTAAAGGGAGGTTTAGACCACATTCTAGTCCACTGGGTGGGGTGAATTTCATTGTTGTGCTCCCATTGTTCTTTGATTGCATCAAGGGGGGTTGTGGGATTTTGGAGCAGTATTTTGTATATTGTGGATACCATCCCCTTACCATGTTCCTCTGCTGTCAGGAGGAGATTTTCGAAGGTGGTCAAGGGCCTAGTGGCTGCTGATTTTACTGCTGGGTTGTTTAAGAAGGCATGTAGTTGGTGATGTGTTAGCCAGGGTATTTGGGTCTCCCCTAGTTTGTCTTGTATTTCTTGTGTCGATATGGGCTTGCCAGGTTTTTATCTGGACGTTTTGTGCTGCATATTGGAATAGTGGGTGATGAACTAGGGGGATTCCTGGGGATGGGGTTGGAGATAGTTTGCCTACCTTTTCCTTCTGTCTGAACCTGTTTAGTGTTGTGAAGATTTTTCTTTGTTTGTTTTGGAGGAATGGGTATGCTGTGGTGTTTTCAAATGCATCTCTGGGTTATTTGTGGGGCCTGCCTGGTGTTTTTACATGAGTAGAATGTGTGCTTTTATTTAAAATGCATCTCTGGGTTATTTGTGGGGCATAAGAATTCATTCTCCCCCCCTCCCAAATATAGTCCGGTCCACCACATGGTCTTAAGGATGGTGGACCCGCCCACAGCTGAAAAAGGTTGCTGACCCCTGTTCATAAGATTATAAGGAGAGCTTGCTGCATCAAGCCAATGGCTCATCTAGTCTAGCATCATATTCTCACAGTGGACAACCAGAAGATCCCTGTGGGCAGCCCATAAGCAAGACATAAGCACAAGAGCACTCTCCCCACATGTGAGGATAGACTGTATAAAAGGAAGCCTGTTTAACCAACTAAACCACTTATTTAAGGTTATTGGCTGGCCAGTTAAACCTTGGTTGACCAGTTAAATACTGGCATTTACATGTCACAAAAGCTTGCATTACAGCAGGCATGTCCAAAGTCTGTTTTGGGGGCCTAATCCAGCCCTTGTGGCAGTTTATTTTGTGGGGTAAAATCCTAAAAAAAGCTCAACTTTGGTTGGCCCTTTGGTCGGCCCTCACACATGTTTACTTCATCAAATCTGGCCCTCTTTGAAAAAAGTTTGGACACCCCTGCATAAGGGTGGGCCTTTTCCCACCTCACCTGGATGGCCATCCAATCATCCTAGGATGGAGAACAATAGGCCAAGGGAGTTAGTTTTGGTGTGTGTTTGGGCTGATACTGGAAGCTGGAAGCTGCCTTGCCCTATGCTGGAGCCAAGAGCATAGAGCTTCCCGGGAAACCTAATGTGGAAACAAAATATTCTGGTGTGTTAATACTGTGAGACCATCCATCCTATCCTAAGGTTGTATATATGGGGAGATAAAACCATAGTTCTCAAAGCTACCACAGGTTCCATTGACTTTCAATCCAAGGAAACTGAAACCTTGTGGTAAGTGCAAGAACCCTTGGAGTCTCTTACTACCTGAAGATTGCGGGATGTAACAATGTCCTTATTAGGGTGTTACTTCCAATAGGATCACTATTTATGCATCCCCCAAAAAGATATAGCTGTGCATAACATTTCCAGTTTGTAGCTTATATGAATAGATGCAAATTTTATTATTTTGATATAATTGCTGTAACTTAAATAGAAATACAGAACATCTTGCCATAGCGGGGAAGACTGACTCCAGGCACTGGTTGTCTGGATGGGTTAGGCGAAAACCTGTGAGCCTCTGCGGCAGCAGGAGGGGACAGGGAAACAATAAAAAATGGTGCTGCGTGTCTGGAGGGGAGAGGAGACACTGCATTGGGCTGCAACAGCTGCTCACAAGCAAGACGCTAAGTGGCCATTGTTTGGCAATATCAAGGCTGTTCCTGCAATTTCTTGCTAGGGTTTTTTATGTTTAAAACATGCAGAACTCAGTGAAACTTGGTTCTGAGTAAATGTGATTTGGATTGTCACGCGCTGCAAACATCAAAAGCTTATAGCCTATCTAAAGCAAAGTATTCTCCCTGAACTCAGTGGGATTAAGCTGGCACAAATGGCTGGAGTGCAGTAGTCAACAGCAATTGAACCTTGCCCACGTAGTTGTACACATGAACCTGACACGAAAGAGGATCCTCTTCACCTACCCAGTCCACTGCACTGAAATCTTTCATTTTGTAATGCTCTGCATCTTTTCTAAAAAATTGTTCCTTTTGACAAATCCCTTTCATAATTACAGAACGAAGATCTCCTTCTGAGCATTATCTGAAAATTTGACTAAATTAGTCAAATCCATCCCCAACCATTTTTTCCCAATAGCAAATGATGAGATACCCACGAACACAGCCCTCTATCCGTTGGTAGGTGGATGAATGCAGCTCATTAAAGTAATGGCTGTTATTGAGAGAGGCATAAGCAGAGAATAATAGCATCAATTGACTGATCTCCACTTTGATCTCATGATGGACACCGTAGGGTGCTCAGATGCAAAGGAGGGCACAGCTCATGTACCATTATAACTGTGATGAAAATGAAATGAAATGAAATTATTACTATTAATTTCTATTCCCAGAGTCTCCTGGGATGGCTCCTCTCCTCTGATGGGATAGGTTCTTGTGGGGGGGAGGAGTCATTCTACACTCGCCAGACCAGCTGGCCAAGCAGGAAGAAATCTCTCCCCATCACTTCCCTGTGGCATCCTGTTCTGCTTTGCATTCCCCATCAAGACTGTATTGTAACCTCACAGCTCCATGAAATTAAAACTCAGGGATGGATATGAATAACATTAGTATTCTACACAACCTTAAACCCCAGGCCACCTCTCCTTTTGGTACCCCCTAAGGGAAATGGTTGTCTCTCTAGCTATGTTTGGCTAGACTGGTGGGTGCTATCCTCCAAGAGACTCTGGGAATAGAAATTCATGGTAAGAATTTTCTTTCATTCCCCAGAGGCTCCTGGAGGACAGTCTTTATGTTGGGATTTGCCAGAGCTTTACTGACAGGGAGGGCATGGAGAGACAACATGGTTGTACTACCCTTTGCAGCACCTTCCTACTGAAGGCTGTGTCAGACAAAACCAATTTGTAGTGTCTGGGAAAGGTGTGCAGGAAGGTCCATGTGGCCACTCTGCAAATGGCTGCTTAACGAGAAAGATTTATAATAATAATAATAATTTATTATTTATACCTCGCCCATCGGGCTGGGTTTCCCCAGTCACTCTGGGCGGCTCCCAACAGAATATTAAAAATAGAATCAAACATTAAAAACTTCCCTAAACAGGGCTGCCTTCAGATGTCTTCTAAATGTCAGGTAGTTATTTATCTCTTTGACATCTGATGGGAGGGCGTTCCACAGGGCGGGCGCCACTACCAAGAAGTCCCTCTGCCTGGTTCCCTGTAACTTTGCTTCTCACAGTGAGGGAACCGCCAGAAGGCCCTCAGAGCTGGACCTCAGTGTCCGGACTGAACGATGGGGGTGGAGATGCTCCTTCAGGTTTACTGGGCCGAGGCCATTTAGGGCTTTAAAGGGCAGCACCCGGAAGACAGCACACCTCCCAGGACATCCTGTTACCTCTGCACACTGCTGCCTCTGTTCCCCTCAGTGGGGAGTCAGCTTTCACCCCCACTCGTCTCCTCCTCCTCTGGGGAGTAGCAGGAATCATTCTATTGGCTTTGCCTTCCAAAGGCTACTTGGAGTCTTCTGAGATCTGCTTCTGTTGTCCTCGAGTCTTCCGCTCTTATTTATTGGAGCTTATTTTTATATTGTTGAGATTAATTACAAAGGCCGAAAACTTATTGTTTGAGTACTTCCTACTCCTTCCTCCCAGCTTGTCATCTTTAGGCTGCAATAATACAAGAGTTCTTGGGATCCAGGCTCAATTCCGCTTGCCTCCCTGAGTCATAGCCATTCTCTTGTTTGCAAATGAGAAACCTTTCAATGTCATCAAATATTTCATGGATGATGTCTTTGCCGCTAAACATCATCTGCTGCCATTGTATGGCCTTTAGGCAGCAAAGCCAGGCCACGGTGACCTTCCATCCTTAAGACACTTATATCTTATTGATTTCAGTCTCCTATTTAAGCCATCACCGTAAGGCGCACTTCAATGTATGGAACATGGTTTCCAAAGCAATAGGGAGCGGCAGGGGGGTGGGGGCCTCCCCGCTCCCATGTAAGACTGTTTTCTTCAAATGAACATTTCCCTCCCTGCAAGCGGTGCGTACCAGCCCCATCTCCCGCTCTCTTAGCCCGGGCTACTTTTCTTTTCTATTTTGACTCAAGTAATAGAGATGTGGCTGCCCTGACATTTTGACAACAGGAGGACTTTATAAATGAAAGATTCCACTGTCTTCTTGATTGGTTTTTTTTTTTAATAGCTTCTTTATGCTTCAGTCCCCATCTGCGGAACTCGGTGAAGTGCCCTTCTCATTAAGAGGTTGGGGCGGGGAAGAACTCGTGGACATCCAATTAATCTGAACGTTGGAAGTTTCCGGACAGAGAAAAGTAACTACATTCTCACAAAGTGCATAGTTAGACTAGGGAACTTCTCCCAGAGACAGTAATGGCCACCAATTTATATGGCTTTAAAAGTTTAGACAAACCCACAGAGCAGAGAGCTGACTATTAAGCACAATGTCTATGATCTGCTTCCACAGCTGGTGGACATTACAGGAGGGGAGAGGGCTCTTGTGCTCGGGTCCTGCTTGTGAACGTCTCATTGAGGCACCTGGTTGGCCTCTGTGAGAACAGGAGTCTGGGCTAGATGGACCACTAGCCTGATCCAGCAGGCTCTTCTTGGGGTCTTAAAAGGTAAAGGTAAAGGGACCCCTGACCATTAGGTCCAGTCATGACCGACTCTGGGGTTGCGGCGCTCATCTCGCTTTATTGGCCGAGGGAGCCGGCGTACAGCTTCTTTTTTTAAAAAAAATATTTTTTATTAAATTTCATATTTCCAAATTAAACACATCAAATCAATTAGTCCAAATTATAACAATACATATCATATAATCCAATTGTTTTCCAAATTATAAATTTTTGTGGGGGGTACCCATGCTTCTTGATTGGCAGGAGTCCAATCCTCGAATATTTGTTCTGCTTCCATATTAAGAATGATGTTTCCAGTTTCCTCTTCTCAATACTTGTCATTACTCATTTTCCTTTCCATTTTCCTCCGATATGCTCCGCAAGTGGGTTGAAAAAGACAGTCTTATTTGTATTTCTGTGTGGGCTTTGTGCTGCTCTTTCGTAAATCACTCTCCTCCAACAGTCCTTTCCGCTCGAGCGAGTAATCGCCATTTTTGTCGTTCCGATGAAATACAGTCTAGAAACTCGCTCTTTAGCTTTTCCGACCTGTTGCATCGTAAATTAGTCTTTTTGCAGGAGGGCTGCCTCTTCCAGTTCACAATCTCCTCGAAAATAATATATCTTCGGCTCGCTCTCCCCAAGACCAACTCCAGCAACACAGGTCTCTTATCAAGTTTCCATTCTTACTGCGTCACAAGAGAGAGCCCTTCTTCTTTCCAAATCCTTCACAGAGTAAAACCTTTAAGTTCATAATTATTCCCACACAATTCATTTTTAGTCCCATTTGCAATTAATTTCTGAGACAGATCTTCAGGGGGAGGGTTATTAATAATCACATAGAGCAAAAGAAATAAAAAGTCGTTTCCCCCCCCTTAGTTCCGGCATTCCAATCCACATACCATATTTGTAGTACTTTGATGTAATCTTCCATCTCAGTCCGTCTCAGTCTTCTTCCTTTCAGTGGTAAAATTGTTAGCAGATAAAAACCTCCTGCCTCTCTTGAAGCATGTGCGTTATCTTTCCCAATTTTTTTTTCCTTTTAAGTAACACAACTAGTTTCGCTCCTGGAAGCAGCTTCGGAGGAGTTCTGAGGCCCGCCGAGGGTTGTGCACCCAGTGCCTCACCCCCTTCTTCTTCCGAACTCGGGGGTGATTTATGGCAACAGCGGGTGAAAACGGCATCTCTCCCCCCAGAATTGACCAAATATGGATAACTAGAGGAATGGCACCAAAGATAAAGAAAGTAGAAATCTGCCCAAAAACCTGCTCTGATCATAACGCTGTAAGGATGCAGATGAAACAAATAACAACCGGATCCTTCAGATGGAGGATGAATGACACCTTATTTAGAGATGAAGAAGTGTATAAAAAGGCCCAAAAAACTTTGAGAGACTACTTTGAAATAAATATGAACACCAACGTAGAAAAAAGAGTAATCTGGGATGCAAGCAAAGCTGTTATGAGAGGGTTTCTGATACAACAGAATGCAATAAAGAAGAGAAGTCAAAATGAGAAGAAAGATAAAATTTTGGAGAAAATAAAAGAAGGCGAGAAGAAATTGAGAGCAAAACCAAAGTCCCAGGAGATTTTGAGAGAAATAAAATTATATCAAGTACAATATATGGAAATGATGAACCAGGAAATAGAATGGAAAATCAAACAAATGAGACAAAAAACATTTGAATCAGCTAACAAATGTGGGAAATTGTTGGCCTGGCAAATGAAAAAAAGACAAAAATTAAATACCATTACAAACTTAGAAGTGGAAGGAAAGAGTATGCATAACCCAATTGAGATTAGAAATTGCTTCCAGAGGTACTTTAAACAACTATACACACAAGGGCCACAGAAAGAAATGGACATAGACCAATTTTTGAAGACAAATGGACTACAAAAAATCTCTTAAGAAAGTAAATTAATGTTGAACTATAAAATATCTGAACAGGAAGTAGAAGGTGCCATACAAATTATGCAACTGGGCAAATCTCCAGGACCAGATGGGCTGACTTCCAGATACTACAGATCTTTGAAAGAGTGGTTATTGCAACCTTTGAAGGAAGTCTGCAATGAAATATTGGAAGGGAAAAGGGCGCCAGAGTCGTGGAAAGAGGCGTATATTACACTTATACCGAAAACAGAGACTGAAAAGACCCAGCTTAAGAACTACCGCCCTATATCGTTACTTAATGTGGATTACAAAATTTTTGCAGATATTTTGGCCAAGAGATTGAAAAAGTATTGATGGAAGAGATCCATAAAGACCAAGCGGGCTTTCTCCCGGGAAGACACTTGTCTGATAATTTAAGGAATATAATTGATATTTTGGAAAAATTAGAAGTGAATATAAACACTAAAGCAGTTTTGATATTTGTGGACGTGGAGAAAGCTTTTGACAATATCTCTTGGAGTTTTATGAAGAAGAGCTTACATGGGATGGGGGTAGGCCAAGGTTTTGAAAATGGTATAGGTGCAATATATTCTGAACAAAAGGCCAAATTAATTGTAAATAATGTGGTCACGGAAGAATTTAAGATAGAAAAAGGGACACGACAGGGGTGCCCAATCTCCCCACTGCTTTTTATATCGGTCCTGGAGGTCTTGCTAAACATGATTAGAAAGGACCGGTTGGTTAAAGGTATACAGGTCGGAGCCAAACAGTACAAACTGAGAGCATTTGCAGATGACTTAGTATTGACGTTACAGGAGCCAGAATCTAGCACTAAAAGAGTTTTAGAATTAATTCAAGAATTTGGTCAAGTGGCAGGTTTTAAATTGAACAGGCTAAAAACTAAGGTTTTAGAGAAACATTTAACACCGATTGAAAGAGATAGGTTTCAGAATGAGACAGGATTGACTGTGGTAAAGAAAGTGAAATAATTGGGGACTAATATGACAGCCAAAAATGGGAACTTATTTAAAGATAATTATGAAAAATGTTGGACGGAAGTGAAAAAACACTTAGAAATTTGGTCAAATTTGAAACTTTCATTGTTGGGCCGCATTGCTGTGATAAAAATGAATGTATTGCCGAGAATGTTGTTTTTATTTCAGACATTGCAAATTGTGGACAAGATGGACTGTTTTAAGAAGTGGCAGAGAGATATTTCTAGATTTGTCTGGCAGGGCAAGAAGCCCAGAATAAAATTTAAGATATTAACAGATGCAAAGGAAAGGGGTGGATTTGCCCTGCCAGACCTTAAACTTTACTATGAACCAGCAGCTTTTGCTGGTTGAAAGAATGGCTACTTCTTGAAAACACAGACATTTTGGATTTAGAAGGTTTTAACAATGTATTTGGATGGCACGCATACTTATGGTATGATAAGGTCAAAGCACACAAAGCATTCAAAAATCATATTGTCAGGAAAACATTGTTTAATGTCTGGATAAGATATAAAGATTTATTGGAAAATAAAACCCCAAGGTGGCTGTCACCAATGGAAGCAAAAGCTCTGAAAAGGCTCAATATGGAGGCCAAATGGCCGACATATTGGGAAATTTTGGAACAAGAAGGAGATAAATTGAGATTGCAGAGTTTCGAAAAACTAAAAACAAAGTGAGAGATTGGCTTCATTATTATCAGATAATGGAGGCATATAATTTGGATAAGAAAATTGGCTTCCAGGTGGAAAAGTCAAAATTAGAAACAGAACTGCTAGAACCCAAAACTAAGAATCTGTCAAGAATGTATAACTTGCTGTTGAAATGGAATACTCAGGATGAAACGGTGAAATCTGCTATGATTAAATGGGCACAAGATGTTGGACATAATATTATGTTTGCTGACTGGGAACAGTTATGGACCACAGGTATGAAGTTTACGGCATGTAATGCCTTAAGAGAGAATATTATGAAAATGATATACAGGTGGTACATGACCCCAGTCAAGCTTGCAAAAATCTATCATTTGCCCGATAATAAATGTTGGAAATGTAAAGAAACTGAAGGTACATTCTTTCACCTTTGGTGGACGTGCCCAAGGTTTAAGGCTTTCTGGGAGATGATTTATAATGAAATAAAAAAGGTATTTAAATATACCTTTCTGAAGAAACCAGAGGCCTTTCTTCTGGGCATTGTCGGCCAATTGGTGCCAAAGAAGGCCAGAACAGTTGATATGTATGCTACAACAGCAGCAAGAATACTCATTGCAAAGTATTGGAAGACACAAGATCTACCCACTCTGGAAGAATGGCAGATGAAGGTGATTGACTACATGGAATTGGCAGAAATGACTGGCAGAATCCGAGACCAGGGAGAAGAGTCGGTGAAAGAAGACTGGAAGAAATTTAAAGACTATTTACAGAAATATTGTAAAATTAAGGAAACTTAGAAGGATGTTGGATAGAAACTAAGTGGTTTCCAGCTGTAATGCTTTAAGAGATACGAAAAAAGGTTTACAAATGGGTAAAAGCTCAATGGTAAGGATTTGCTGAACTAACAAACTGAACTGGAATACAAAAAAGGGAGGTACGAGGAGGTCCGGGGAAATAGGTGTAAGGAAGATATGCTATGGAAAATTAACGTGTTTTTAACTGTTTTTATTTTGTATGTTTCTTTTTATTTTTCATTTCTTTGTTATACCTTAAAAACTTTATTCTTTTTTCTGTATTTTGTATTTTCTTGTATTTTTATTTTTTGTTTTTGTGTAACTCTTGTATTCTTTGAAACTTTAATAAATATCATTAAAAAAAAAAGAGAGATGAAGGGAGACTGATATACTCCCCATAATTAGCCTCTAATTACCTCGTGCGAGCTGGAGAGATGTTAATATCCGCCATCTTCCAAGGCGCCCCCTAGCGGCCCCCCGCCGGCGTACAGCTTCCGGGTCATGTGGCCAGCATGACTAAGCTGCTTCTGGCGAACCAGAGCAGCGCACGGAAACGCCGTTTACCTTCCCACTGAAGCGGTACCTATTTATCTACTTGCACTTTGACGTGCTTTCGAACTGCTAGGTTGGCAGGAGCAGGGACTGAGCAACAGGAGCTCACCCCGTCACGGGGATTAGAACCGCCAACCTTCTGATCAGCAAGTCCTAGGCTTTGTGGTTTAACCCACAGTGCCACCCACGTTCCTTGGCGACTTATGGGAGGAAAATACTCCAAAGTTTTAGGAGCCCAATTAAAACACTTATGTGCCGATGCTGGCTTAGAACTGAGCAGGCCAAATTTTACTTCTTTTAGTACAGCTACACTGTGATAAGAATTTTAAAGTCTTAGTTATATATAATGTTCATAAATGTACCAACCAAGCACGTACATAGATCAGCACAGGAAGACCGACCTGAAACCATTTTTTATTCCCAAACTGACCAAATGTTTTCTCTGCAAGGTCAAAGGAAAACGCAAAAGCCTCCCCATTGTCTTTTCCTTCACAAATCCTGTCTTAAGGGTATGTCTCTCTGTGTTTGAATAGGGTGCACCTGTGACCTGGCTCAGGAACTGCCGTATTTCTTGCTGTATAAGACACACTTTTCCCCTCCTAAAAAGTAAGGGGGAATGTGTGTGCATCTTATGGAGTGAATGCAGGCAGCGCTGCTATTGCTGAAGCCAGAAGAGCAAGAGGGATTGGTGTGCAGTGAGTGATTGGTGTGCAGCCTCTTGAGCGCAGCCGGAGCGCTCCTGCCTCTTCGCTCAAGAGGCTTTGCGTTGCTTTCTTGTTTCTTGTTTCCCTCCTCTAAAAACTAGGTTCGTCTTATGGTCGGGTGCGTCTTATAGTGCGAAAAATATGGCGGTACTGTATTTTTCGCTCCACAGGACACACTTTTTTCCTCCTAAAAAGTAAGGGGAAATGTCTGTGCGTCTTATGGAGTGGATACCTATGGATGGCGGGGGGATCTGCTGCAGTCGCGAGCAGAGGATCCATGGTTCCCCTTACACAGGTGTAAGCGGCTCCTGTTCGGCTGGCTGTTTTAAAGTGAGCATGCTCTCTTTCCCTCCCTCCTCCCCGCTCAGCTGGCTGAACAGTAGCAAAGCTTTTCAGCTCGCTGAACTGGGGAGGAGGGAGAGAAGGAGAGCCCGCTTTCTTTAAAGGAGCAAAGCGGGAGAGGAGAGGAGCCACTTACACGGTTGTAAGTGGCTCCTGTCCGGCTGGCTCCTTTAAAGCAACTGTGCTCTCTTTCCCTCTCTCCCT